GTACAGTGTACTTCAAACGCTGCTACCTTCACATACACGAAGTACAGTCTGCTTCAAACGCTACCACTTTCACCTACTGGAAGTACTATCTGCTTTAAAACCCACATACGCGAAGTAATCTGCTTCAAACGCTACAAATTACACAAACACGAAAAACGCCTCCTTCAAACGCCACATACACGAACTATAGTCTCCTTCAAACGCCACATACCCGAAGTACTGTCTGCTTCAAACGCCACATACACGAAGTATAGTGTGCTTCAAACGCTACCACTTTTACTTACACGAAGAACAGTCTCCTTCAAACGCCACATACACGAAGTACAGTCTGCTTCAAACGCTACCACTTTCACCTACTGGAAGTACTATCTGCTTCAAAACCCACATACGCGAAGTACAGTCTGCTTCAAACGCTACAATTTTCAAACACGAAAAACGCCTCCTTCAAACGCCACATACACGAACTATAGTCTCCTTCAAACGCCACATACCCGAAGTACTGTCTGCTTCAAACGCCACATACACGAAGTATAGTGTGCTTCAAACGCTACCACTTTTACTTACACGAAGAACAGTCTCCTTCAAACGCCACATACACGAAGTACAGTCTGCTTCAAACGCTACCACTTTCACCTACTGGAAGTACTATCTGCTTCAAAACCCACATACCCGAAGTACTGTCTCCTTCAAACGCCACATACACGAACTATAGTCTGCTTCAAACGCTACAATTTTCAAACACGAAAAACGCCTCCTTCAAACGCCACATACACGAACTATAGTCTCCTTCAAACGCCACATACCCGAAGTACTGTCTGCTTCAAACGCCACATACACGAAGTATAGTGTGCTTCAAACGCTACCACTTTTACTTACACGAAGAACAGTCTCCTTCAAACGCCACATACACGAAGTACAGTCTGCTTCAAACGCTACCACTTTCACCTACTGGAAGTACTATCTGCTTCAAAACCCACATACGCGAAGTACAGTCTGCTTCAAACGCTACAATTTTCAAACACGAAAAACAGTCTGCTTCAAACGCCACATACACGAAATATAGTGTCCTTCAAACGCCATATACCCGAAAAACAGTCTGCTTCAAAACCCACAAACACGAAGTTTAGTGTGCTTCAAACGCTACCACTTTTACATACACAGAGAACAGTCTACTTCAAACGCCACATACACGAAGTACAGCTTGCTTCAAACGCTACCACTTTTACATACACGAAGTACAGCCTGCTTCAAACGCTACCGTTTTCACATACACGAAGTACAGTTTGCTTCAAACTCTACAAACACGAAGTACAGTCTGCTTCAAACTCTACCACTTTTACATACTCGAACAACAGTCTGCTTCGAACGCTACAAACACGATGTACAGCCTCCTTCAAACGCTACCACTTTCATATACACGGCGTACAGTCTGCTTCAAACGCTACCACTTTCACATACACGAAGAACAATCTACTTCAAACGCCACATTCACAAAATATAGTCTCCTTCAAACGCCACAAACACGAAGTATAGTGTGCTTCAAACGCTACCACTTTTACATACACGAAGAACAGTCTACTTCAAACACCACATACACGAAGTATAGTCTGCTTCAAACGCCACATACCAGAAGTACAGTCTGCTTCAAACGCTACCACTTTCAGCTACTGGAAGTACTATCTGCTTCAAAACCCACATATGCGAAGTACAGTCCGCTACAATTTTTTACGAACACGAAAAACAGTCTGCTTCACACGCCACATACATGAAATATAGTCTCCTTCAAACGACACATACCCGAAGTACTGTCTGCTTCAAACGCCACATACACGAAGTATAGTGTGCTTCAAACGCTACCACTTTTACTTACACGAAGAACAGTCTCCTTCAAACGCCACATACACGAAGTACAGTCTGCTTCAAACGCTACCACTTTCACCTACTGGAAGTACTATCTGCTTCAAAACCCACATACCCGAAGTACTGTCTCCTTCAAACGCCACATACACGAACTATAGTCTGCTTCAAACGCTACAATTTTCAAACACGAAAAACGCCTCCTTCAAACGCCACATACACGAACTATAGTCTCCTTCAAACGCCACATACCCGAAGTACTGTCTGCTTCAAACGCCACATACACGAAGTATAGTGTGCTTCAAACGCTACCACTTTTACTTACACGAAGAACAGTCTCCTTCAAACGCCACATACACGAAGTACAGTCTGCTTCAAACGCTACCACTTTCACCTACTGGAAGTACTATCTGCTTCAAAACCCACATACGCGAAGTACAGTCTGCTTCAAACGCTACAATTTTCAAACACGAAAAACAGTCTGCTTCAAACGCCACATACACGAAATATAGTGTCCTTCAAACGCCATATACCCGAAAAACAGTCTGCTTCAAAACCCACAAACACGAAGTATAGTGTGCTTCAAACGCTACCACTTTTACATACACAGAGAACAGTCTACTTCAAACGCCACATACACGAAGTACAGCTTGCTTCAAACGCTACCACTTTTACATACACGAAGTACAGCCTGCTTCAAACGCTACCGTTTTCACATACACGAAGTACAGTTTGCTTCAAACTCTACAAACACGAAGTACAGTCTGCTTCAAACTCTACCACTTTTACATACTCGAACAACAGTCTGCTTCGAACGCTACAAACACGATGTACAGCCTCCTTCAAACGCTACCACTTTCATATACACGGCGTACAGTCTGCTTCAAACGCTACCACTTTCACATACACGAAGAACAATCTACTTCAAACGCCACATTCACAAAATATAGTCTCCTTCAAACGCCACAAACACGAAGTATAGTGTGCTTCAAACGCTACCACTTTTACATACACGAAGAACAGTCTACTTCAAACACCACATACACGAAGTATAGTCTGCTTCAAACGCCACATACCAGAAGTACAGTCTGCTTCAAACGCTACCACTTTCAGCTACTGGAAGTACTATCTGCTTCAAAACCCACATATGCGAAGTACAGTCCGCTACAATTTTTTACGAACACGAAAAACAGTCTGCTTCACACGCCACATACATGAAATATAGTGTCCTTCAAACGACACATACCCGAAGTACAGTCTACTTCAAACGCCTGATACACGAAGTACAGTCTGCTTCAAACGCCACATACACGAAGTACAGTCTGCTTCAAACGCTACCACTTTCACACACGCGAAGTACAGCCTGCCTCAAACGCTACCACTTTCACATACACGGAGTACAGTCTGCTTCAAACTCTACAAATACGAAGTACAGTCTGCTTCAAACGCTACCACTTTTACATACACGAAGTACAGTCTGCTTCAAACGCTACCACTTTCACCTACTGGAAGTACTATCTGCTTCAAAACCCACATACGCGAAGTACAGTCTGCTTCAAACGCTACAAATTTCGCAAACTGGAAAAATAGTCTCCTTCAAACGCCACATACCCAAAGTACTGTCTGCTTCAAACGCCACATACACGAAGTACAGTCTGCTTCAAACGCTACCACTTTCACACACGCGAAGTACAGCCTGCCTCAAACGCTACCACTTTCACATACACGGAGTACAGTCTGCTTCAAACTCTACAAATACGAAGTACAGTCTGCTTCAAACGCTACCACTTTTACATACACGAAGTACAGTCTGCTTCAAACGCTACCACTTTCACCTACTGGAAGTACTATCTGCTTCAAAACCCACATACGCGAAGTACAGTCTGCTTCAAACGCTACAAATTTCACAAACTGGAAAAATAGTCTCCTTCAAACGCCACATACCCAAAGTACTGTCTGCTTCAAACGCCACATACACGAAGTATAGTGTGCTTCAAACGCTACCTCTTTTACATACACGAAGTATAGTGTGCTTCAAACGCTACCACTTTCACATACACGGAGTACACCCTTCTTCAAACGCTACCACTTTCACATACACGAAGTACAGTCTGCTTCAAACGCTACCAATTTCACATACACGGCATACAGTCTGCTTCAAACGCTACAAACACGATGTACAGCTTTGCTTCAAACGCTACCACTTTCACATACACGAAGTACAGCCTGCTTCAAACGCTACCACTTTCACATACACGGCGTACAGTCTGCTTCAAACGCTACCACTTTCACATACACGAAGAACAATCTACTTCAAACGCCACATACATGAAGTATAATCTCCTTCAAACGCCCCATACACGAAGTACAGTCTGCTTCAAACGCTGCCTCCTTCACATACACGAAGTACAATCAGCTTTAAATGCTGCCACCTTCACATACACGAAGTACAGTCTACTTCAAACGCCACATACACGAAGTACAGTCTGCTTCAAACACTGCCACCTTCACATACACGGCGTACAGTCTGCTTCAAACGCTGCCACCTTCACATACACGAAGTACAATCAGCTTTAAATGCTGCCACCTTCACATACACGAAGTACAGTCTACTTCAAACGTCACATACACGAAGTATAGTCTGCTTCAAACGCCACATACCCGAAGTACAATCTGCTTCAAACGCTGCCACCTTCACATACACGAAGTACAGTCTGCTTTAAATGCTTCCCCTTTCATATACACGAAGGACAGTTTGCTGCAACCGGCACATGCATGAGGTACAGTCGGCTTCTAACGCTACAATTGCGGCAAAGGGCACGGGTGGCCCAGTCGTTTAAGGCGCCGCGATTCGCTGTGCAGAATTGCGTCCCTTGGGCACGACAGAAACCTATGATTGTGGGTTCGAATCCCGGTTCGCCCCGATTATGTTTCGAGGTTTGTCAGCACCATACCCGTGCTCGTGGGTTTCACCGAAGTGGTAAACTTCTGAGACCTGCACCACCTCGCGCTTTCCTCCCACATTAAGCTGACACGCCGTGATATAACTGGAATACTGTTAAAAGCGGCGTAAAACCCAACTCACTCACTCATTCATTACAATTGCGGCAGACATGACATCTACAAATGTCTTCTTTACTTACCCAAACATGGACACTGCTCATCGCTGATGTTGAAGATGCACTTGAAGTCTTCTTTAGCCGCCTGCAGCCGCCCTAAGATTGTGGCAAGCTCGTTCTCGAGAGTTCCGCATCCCAGCAATGGCGCAATGACACCCAGGAGGACTACGACAAATCTGCTGTCGAACATCGTCATGTTGATTCCGAATGTCTGATCGTGTCAGCATCGAGTGATGAAAGTCAGTTGGGCTAGAGTCAGCTGGTAATGAACTAGTGACGCAACTCACACATGTCGACAGTATCCTTTACGTGGAAATTGATTAGGAAAGAATATTAAGCCTATTACACGTTATGACATATGGTGCATAGAAAAGCCCTTTGGATTATGTGAAAGAAATGATTTATCGCTTTTGCACGATCGTGAATATATTATTTAAGTTAACATTTCTCTGAATATATTATTTAAGTTAACATTTCTCTGAATATATTATTTAAGTTAACATTTCTCTGATTATATTATTTAAGTTAACATTTCTCTGATTATATTATTAAAGTTAACATTTCTCTGATTATATTATTAAAGTTAACATTTCTCTGAATATATTATTTAAGTTAACATTTCTCTGAATATATTATTTAAGTTAACATTTCTCTGAATGTATTATTTAAGTTAACATTTCTCTAAAACAATTAAGTAATGTCTGCCCAGGGAGTTATAAATAATGTCTTCCCAGGGAGTTATAAATAATGTCTGCCCAGGGAGTTATAAATAATGTCTGCCCAGGGAGTTATACATAATGTCTGCCCAGGGAGTTATAAATAATGTCTGCCCAGGGAGTTATAAATAATGTCTGCCCAGGGAGTTATAAATAATGTCTTCCCAGGGAGTTATAAATAATGTCTTCCCAGGGAGTTATAAATAATGTCTGCCCAGGGAGTTATAAATAATGTCTGCCCAGGGAGTTATACATAATGTCTGCCCAGGGAGTTATAAATAATGTCTGCCCAGGGAGTTATAAATAATGTCTGCCCAGGGAGTTATAAATAATGTCTGCCCAGGGAGTTATAAATAATGTCTGCCCAGGGAGTTATAAATAATGTCTTCCCAGGGAGTTATAAATAATGTCTTCCCAGGGAGTTATAAGTAATGTCTGCCCAGGGAGTTATAAATAATGTCTTCCCAGGGAGTTATAAATAATGTCTTCCCAGGGAGTTATAAATAATGTCTGCCCAGGGAGTTATAAATAATGTCTGCCCAGGGAGTTATACATAATGTCTGCCCAGGGAGTTATAAATAATGTCTGCCCAGGGAGTTATAAATAATGTCTGCCCAGGGAGTTATAAATAATGTCTGCCCAGGGAGTTATAAATAATGTCTGCCCAGGGAGTTATATCCACAAGGAGATGAGGTGAAGTAGCACATACACATGATAAGTCAGACATCACAGGCGGGAATCAATCTCTATTTAGTCAAAGATGTTATTTCACGAATAGATGAGGTGAGGTGAAATGGACTTAACGTCGCGTTCTAGATTATTTAGCGACGTGCATGCCCGTGTGTGGCTGGGGGGTTGGGGGGGGGGACGACTAGACTAGACCACAATTCTTATCGCGACAGTCACCTGTATTACAATCTTTTACAGCATTATTATAGCCTAATCATGACATTGAGCAATATTGCAGCCTTATTGAGGCAGTCAGCACCATTGCAGTCTTACAACGACAGTCACTAATATGACAGCCTTATTGTGACAGTCACTCATATGACAACCTTATCGTGACAGTCACTCATATGACAGCCTTATCGTGACAGTCACTAATATGACAGCCTTATCGTGACAGTCACTAATATGACAGCCTTATCGTGACAGTCACTCATATGACAGCCTTATAGTGACAGTCACTCATATGACAGCCTTATAGTGACAGTCACTCATATGACAGCCTTATCGTGACAGTCACTCATATGACAGCCTTAACGTGACAGTCACTCATATGACAGCCTTATCGTGACAGTCACTCATATGACAGCCTTAACGTGACAGTCACTCATATGACAGCCTTATCGTGACAGTCACTCATATGACAGCCTTATCGTGACAGTCACTAATATGACAGCCTTATAGTGACAGTCACTCATATGACAGCCTTATAGTGACAGTCACTTATATGACAGCCTTATCGTGACAGTCACTCATATGACAGCCTCATCGTGACAGTCACTCATATGTCAGCCTTATCGTGACAGTCACTCATATGACAGCCTTATCGTGACAGTCACTAATATGACAGCCTTATACTGACAGTCACTCATATGACAGCCTCATCGTGACAGTCACTCATATGACAGCCTCATCGTGACAGTCACTCATATGTCACTCATATGACAGACCAAGCTTGTACGTAAAACAACTGTAAGTCTGACACATCAGACTTCAACACAACGGAGTTTGACAATATGGTCGATATCGTGAGCACAACTTTCAAATCATTATGGATGCTGTCGAATGGTAGGCAACCATGGGCTAAAGGAGGCACTTGTTGAATGTCTGAAGTCGCTACGTGGTGTTGTCATTGGTAACCCTAACCTTAGCCCTAACCCTAACCCTGTCATTGGTAGAATGCATAATCTGATAAAGAGGAAACAGAATTGGAATTAACCCATAGGTACAGTTGCATATCTTTTTTTGGACGTTCAGCGCAACTTGTCAAAACAAATAGCAAACACCATCTGAAATAATAATCACTCCCACTATAAAGGTGTGTTATGTAGGCTATGACTCACACTATAAAGGTGTATTATGTAGACTATGACCCACACTTTAAAGGTGTATTATGTAGGCTATGACTCACACTTTAAAGGTGTGTTATGTAGGCTATGACTCACACTATAAAGGTGTATTATGTAGACTATGGCCCACACTTTAAAGGTGTATTATGTAGGCTATGACCCAGACTATAGAAGTGTGTTATGTCGGTCAGCTGACAGCCGGGGGTCGGGGAAACTAATGCCACGCTACACTGCAACACCTGCCACCTCTCCCTGTGCAAATGTTGGCTTCCCAGCTGACACACTACGTCTTCACAACGTCGTGGTAATGTTGTGGATTGGTAACATCATGGTATATAGACAATCCCACCCGAGTGTCTTTTCATATCAAATATATATCGTTTATCGTTGATAAAAGTGTTGTTTATAAAAGTCATGTTGATATATTTGATATCAAAATACGAGGGTGAGATTTTATTTATCATCCAACATAATTCTTCTAACTTTTTCAGTTTGTAGACAGTAATAAGCAATGCCTTAAAAGTAAAAAGTACTGATAAGAGTTTCAGTAGCAGAGCCATTAATGATTGTGACGTCATGGTAACCAATGACGTCACAATGGTCTGCAAAGCATTGTGATGCAATTTCATTGCGGCAATATCTTCAATGCAGATCTCGCTTGATCTCACTCAAGTGATATCTCCTGTGGGAGCCAGTTTTGGATCATAAAACGTTTTCACGACGTTGTTATACGTTACCGTGTGAGGTTCTTTTCACAACGTAATAACAACGTTGCACATTTACGTTGAGAAAACTTTGTGCGTCGGACATTACACAACGTTTTGTATCTACGTTTCCTGAAACGTCTGTGAAACGTTATACAGTTCCCTTCTTGACGGTCACGTGGGAATAGAATAGCTTACTCAAACTCAACATGATTTCGTCAGAATAGCAAGACAGTAATGCTTTGCTTTCCTTTAAATTCGGCATTTGGGTTTTCATCTCTTAATGCTAAATTTCCCCAGAATGCCCCTCTCTGTGACAACTTTGGTATTACGCTACAGTGTAACGTTATAAAAAACGTTGTGAAAACGTTGTACATCGGACATCACAAAACGTGTTTGTAAATAACGTTTATGTAACTACTTACAGATCTACCGTCTCTTAATTTTAATTTTGTTAAACATATAGGTATATTAGCGAAGTCATATGTACACTAAATGTCGAATGAAAATAAAACTGACATGACTCCACCTGTTTTGTTAATACATATATGCAATCGTTAAAAGTCATATTTGAGGCAGTTTGACTATTAGATGTCAACATAACGTTTTCGCAATCAAAATACATGTCGCGCGGAAAGTCCCTACTGTGACTGGTCAAATTGTTCCATCCTGTACCAAATTGTTACGCTTATGGTTCTTATAATTTCAGATATATATATATATTTATATATATAAATATATATATATATATATATATATATATATATATATATATATATATATAGTGAAAGCTGTTACTAGCAGAACACGATATTGGAAGATATTATTCTGATAAAGCAATAATTTCAGATACAATTTCTTCCCACTATTGCCTAAACAACTTGAAGTTGTATCATTGGGCACATTTTAACTGAATTACTGGTAGATGCGGGAGGAAAACAAATATAACGAACAACGAACTGATTTCTCCGGTCCCTTGTAGTTCGTTATATCCATGTTCTACTGTAGCTGTTTTGACATATAGTGTTACAAGCAATATTACAGTCAAACAATGTTTTAGCCCTGAATGAGACTACTGAAAAGTGAAGCCTTGTAGCCTCGTGAGGTGACGTCAGAATGACGTCATATTTTCGCGGAAGGTATGTTGTCACACGCCATCTTAGTTATGGATATAATATTATTATAGCCAAGTCATTGTGCAGCAACTGTAACTGGATAGTTGATCTGTGAATTCGGATGAGGTAAGTCAATATCTATTTTTCAAAAGCAGTCTCTGAGATTATTACGCTTACATAGCGTGTTTGTGGCTGGTTATACTAGTCTTACTTACTTACTTTTTATATCGGAGATTTTACGTGCGCTTTCCGACTGCAGCGTATTTCGCACACGGGCCCGGCCAAGCCATTTAATGTGTTTCCGAAAAGGGGAAAAAGTTGTTTGGCAATCCAGTAGGGGTGTTTTAGTGGTTGCTTAAATAGAATTTTTGAAATTTTGAAATTTTGAAAAAATGCCAGGAGTGTTTTGGGGACGAACTAAGGGACCTGAGTATGGAAGTTTGTTAGTTTGATTATGTGGTCTGGTTTTGGTAGTTTATTGGGGTTTTAAATGCGATTTATTAGTCCTGTTTTGATTAAGTATACGCCTAAGGCTTTGAATTTTTCTATTTTATTTTGTGGGTTTAGGATTGCTTCCAAAGTAAGAGCCTTATTTAGATTTAGGGTGGTTTTTAGTGTAGTTCGATGTGTTAGGTAGTGGGTGCAGTGTATGAGTGCGTGTTCTGGGGTTTCTT